ATAGGAGAGAGATATATTTAGACCCATGTTCTGTAGGAATCTTCTGGCGCTTGGGGATCAGTTTCTGCAGTACTAGTTATTGGGACAGAAAGGAAATTGTGCGACTGCTGCTGTAAAAAGAGAAAATGCAGCCCTCTGCAGATGACCGTCTGTACAGTCTTGGGCTGAGGAGCAGAATTCCTGTGGCCCTGGCATTTCAAAACGGCTGCGAAGTCATACCTGTTCGTAGAGTGCACCTAATCCTTTCGGTATGTTTGAATGTGCAATAAACCAGTCAGATAGGAAAAATCCAAAATGGATTATCGTCCAAAAGTTTTGCATGCAGTCTCATGTGGAATTTCTGCTGAAGGAGTTCAGAAGACTGAAACCCACCACTAACAAAAATCCTCTCTTGCAAGCTCGACATGCAGCACAACTGGCTCTGTAAAAACCCAGCGAGGTAAAGGTAAAGAAAGGCCCTTGATTCTGAGGTCTATAGGTCAAGTAGCTTTATGTCAATGACACAGTTGACATAAGATAGTTCCTAATGTCTTTGCTAGGTCAGTGTTTTATTGAATGCACAAAATAAGAATAGGCAAGGATTGTTGTTTTGAAAAGTCCGTATGTTTTTTGCTGTATTTAAAAGCCCTTGTCCAGGTACCTCCTCCATGCTGACAATAATGAGAATAGGGCACTGTCTTTTTAATTACTTCAGTTCTCTTTTTAAACAGCTTCACCACCTCTCCCATCGTGTTGTCTTTGCAATTTTGTGCCACTTCAGTGATGATAAAGATTGTGGGGTTTTTTTGTATTGTTCTGTACATGCATTTGAGGCAGGCCTTAAAGCTGGTTGGATGGATGGCAAAAATAAAGTGAGGTAGTATGGGTTTTAAGTGATAATTTATTCTTCTTACGGCTGGTTTCAAGGCCAAAGAAGGATTGAAAAACAAACAAGCGTTTGCAAGGCTTGAGGCACTGATTCTCCGAGGTTTCGGGGGCTGTTCTGGTAACCTCAGCTATCTGAATTTGCAAGTGTGTTCATTCCCATGTTGTCTACCAGCATTGGAACTGGTTGATATTTCTCAAGCTTGCCCAAAGAATAACATGGAAAAGTCTGAGTCTCGTTCTGTCATTACACGTTCCACCTTGTACACGAATACTTCTTGGATCAGACCTGAAGGCATTGCAAGGTACCATGTGTCTCTTGTTCTAAAGGCAAGCCTAGAACCTGGTCCTGCGGCACAGACCTCCAGTACTTGCCCTGGTACTGCTCATCAGCCTATACTATATGCTCAGGGATGTAGGAGACCACCACTCTGCTTGTGTTTTTAAATAGAGAAGAACTGAGATTGTTTTATGAATGTTAGTGTCAACTTGGGCATTATGTTAGAGAAGACCTTGTTTCCAAAAGGCTGCTTGAAGCTCCAGACGGTGAAATCGAAGTTTGCTCAGCAGTGTGTGTACTTAGTTCAAGTCGAGGTGGTTATGAAATCCAACAGATCTTGTAAATTAGAGATCCGGCCGCCGTGCCCTCCGTAGCCAGTGCCCAGATTCAGGGCCGTGTGGCACTGCAAGTTCCCAGAAACACAGTATGGATCTGTTTTTAATTTGTTAATTTTTGTTCCTCAACCACTTTATAATGTATTTTTTTAATTTATTATTTTGTAATGTCATGTTTAAGTATTGCTGCTATCCTTGTTATTCTTCCCACTGTTTTTATTGCAGATTTATTTTGTGGAAGTTGTACACTAATGTTTCATTTTATGTCTAAATCAAAGTATTTAAAGAAATACTAGTTCTATTTAATGTGGTTATGGAACCAGCTGGAATAAACAGTGATTGTATAGTAGGCTGGACCCAGGAGGTCATGTTCATTTTTGTTACATATGCAATAAACTCACAACTTTAAACTCTTGCTATCCACCATTTTGTTTGTTTAAAGGAAGCTGTAGGAAAATTGCGCTGTTCATAACTAAAGAGTGTGATAGTGCTGTGCTGTGTTTAGCTAGGGGAGGTGGCGAGGGGGTCGAGTCGTAGTGTTAAGGAGGACAACAACAGCAACAAAAGTAGTGATGTCCTTAAAAATCCTGTAGCATTATGAAATACTGAGTAAGGCTAGAAAAAACTAGTCTGACAGAGCCAGAGTTCAGCATAATGAAGCCCTACCGGCGCTAGCAGCGACTGGTCTCTAGTGGTTATTGGGCATCGCGTTTTCTTGCCAAATCGTCTCGCCTCGTTCTAGGTTTGGGTGCCAGAGCAGCGGGTGACGTCGGGGCAGAGCTGGGTGGACGAGCTGTGGAACAGCTTGGAAATGCAGCTGGCTGAACGGTGATTTATATAGACTGCCCAGATGAAACCTCTCCTTTCCGGGTAGAAGGCTTTTGTTGCATTCATTCTCCAGCTGAGTATTTACCACTTCAATCTGTTTCCCTTCTCTCTTTTTTTTCCTATTTTTTTTCCAAAGTCTCAGTTCTCAGGAAAACCTGATATCCCCCGTTAATGATCGTCAGAGAAAGATTAATGCTGATGAAACTCTGCTTTCCTGTATTTCTCTAATTGGTGATGTTTTGCAAGTGGAGAAAGAGGGGCGCCGAGTCCCTCTGCTGCCGGCGCTGGCCGGCGTCGGCAGTGGCCGCCGAGCCTGGCGTGCCGCAGTGTTGCCTTCCCTCCCTAAAGCCGAAGGCTCTCCTGTCTCTGCTCTGTGTATCGTGTGCTACAGAAAGGGAATCGTTTCGTGATCCTTCCTCTTCTCCAAGTACCTTCACGAGCCGCGTGGTCAAGCGCCCTAGCGCGCAGTGAGGAAGGGACTGCGGAGCGGACGGTTCGTCCGTCCCCTCGCGCCGGCCCGCAGGAGGGGTTGAGCAACTGTCGCTTGCCTGGTTGGAGCAAGAAATGCTGTCAGTACTGTCAAACACTTGGGCTGCTTCGTGTTTTAATAAACGTTTGCAGAAGTACCGCTGGTCTCTGCTAATCTTTTGGCACACGGACCTCATTGAAAGGGAAAAGGATTCCTGTAGGCTGCTGCGGTGGCTTTGGTTTGTCGTGCAGTGGTTGCTGGTGGAAAGTGGTAGGACTTTTGCACTATGTGAAGCGTTTGAAGAGACAGCAGAAGATGAATCTTCTGGTTAAGAAAGCTTATAGAGCTCAAGTAGTTTACCGTCTCTTACACAGACGTTTGGCAGGTCAGTCAAATTCCTCCGGTTAAGTTTTCCAGTCTGCCTCTTTCTGCAGGACTTATAAAAAACAGTCCTGTGAAAAGCTCTAGAGGTGACAATTTTTTTTTTCCTCTCTCCTGATTTATAGTGGTGCTCCTGTGTCCTGGGCGCTGTGCCTGCCTGCCTGGGGAAAGACAGCCCCTGCCCAGGAGTACTGACTTTAAAAAATGCGAGGCAGAACGGGGTTTGATCTGCAGGCAGTTCGCGCTGACAGACCTCTGCTTATTTTCTGTTGCTGGTTTACAATTTGAACCCTCCCGGTCATTTCTCTTTTTCAGCCTTTCTTCACATGTGGCTTAAATAAAACCACAACCCGCAAGCTTTGCCAATAAACAGTTACGGATAGGATCCTTTAAGCGGAGGGAGGGAGGCAGGTTACTGCCTCGCTTTCTGATCTTGCTAAACTCAAACGTCCCGCTTGCTGGGTGGACAACCCGCGCAACGTGCCCCGTCCAGGACGTCTTCCCGCCTCGCCGGGAGCCGTATCGCGTCCCTTGGGAGCGGGACGGTGCCGCC